ATATATATACCAAAAACTGTTGAATTGTGCACTTCAAGAGACTGAACTATAAAGCCTGTAAATTATTTCAATTAATTATCTTAATAAAGTTGTTAAAAAATGTCTCTGGGCGTAGCACTGCTCTGCTGCTCAGGACCCGGCCTTCCCCTCATTCAGGTTTGAACTCCCTCCCCACACAAAAAGCTGCAACAGGACAAAGGGTCCTGGGAGCTGGGTAGTGAGGTGGCTGAATCTCCCCAAAGGATCCTAAGTAACTGTGACCATATGTAAGGAGGGAGCTTGAGAGCAGGGGTGGGCTGAGGGAAGATGCAGAAGAGATGAGAGGCAGGCAGAGGATCAAGGCTTCAAGGCAGGGGATTTGTAAAACAATATAAGGAGGGTCTACAAAACAGTTTCATACCTTAGGAAAAGGGGAAAATGATGAGGCAAGGAAACCAGCTGGTAACATAAGGAAGTATGGATAAAGTCCTAAACTATGGCAGTGGGTAAGGAAATGAAAAGAAATAGATTCCAGAAACACCTGGGAGAAAAGTGACTTTGGGACCATCTGTCTACAGGGGCTGAGGGACAGGGAAAGGTCTTAAGTAACTTCCACTTCTGTAGCTCAGGAGACTGGGGCAGTGGTGATGAGTGGAGAGCTGGGAGCATCCTGGTGACAGGGACCCCTGCAACACTCGATCAGCTATTTCTACTAGGCCTCAGCAGAGTGGGTCTGGAGGTCAAGAGATGCCTGTGCTGTGGTCATGAGTATGCCTGGGCTGTGGTAAAAAGAGGTAGCCAAGCAGGCAATGCCAATGAAGAAATGAGTCTGATGCCAGGCCAGGGAATGGTATGGACCATGGCAAAGTGAAGATATTCACTGATCCGAAGACACAAGAATTTTATAGGAAAAAAATAGAAATACAGAATTTTACATGAAATTTCCCCCTTTAAAACCCATTCATTTTTTGTTGTGGTGGTGGTGCTATATATAACAACATAAAATGTATCATTTAAGTGTACACTTCAGTGGTATGTGGTACATTCACATTGTTGTGCAACCACCATCACCATCTCCAGAACTTTTTTAACCTTACAAAACTGAAATTTTATTCATTGAACAACTAACTCTCCATTCTTCCCTCCTGACAGCCCCTGGCAACTACCATTCTACTTTCTGTGTCTACGATTTTAATTGCTCTGAGTACCTCCGAAATTATGTACATTTTGTTCTTTTTGTGACTGGCTTATTTCTCTAATGTAATGTACTCAAGGTTCACCCATATCACACAGCATTTTTCGGAACTTCCTTCAAACTTTTAAAGGATAGTCCGCATGCTAAACGAAACACCTCTCTGGCCAAGAGTTCTTGCTTTGAGGCAAGGTGACACTGGTGCCTCCTTACTGAAACATTAATTGTATTATTATGTTTAAAACTGTATTTTGGGGGCCAAGGATTTCGCTCAGTGGTTCCGCCGCCTGCCTCGCAAGCACAAGGACCCGAGTTCGATCCCCAGTGTCAAAAACAAAAAAACCAAAAAAACCCTGTATTTTGGAAATCCGTAATACATCAATAAGTTATTAAGTAATATATCATATTATATATTATAACTCCCTGTGATTGCCTGGCTACCTGCAGACTGAGCTGGGCATGTCTTGAGCATCAACACGTCTGTGGACACCGATATGACAGTGGTCCCTGGCTAGGGTTTTCAAGGCACTATGGTAAACCTTTGCTAATTGCTTGGAGTACTTGCTGACCAAATGCACTCATGAGACATGTGTTCAGAGCATACAGTGGGACACCCAACCAGCCAAAGCTGTGGTTGAGGCTATGTCATTTTGGCTTCCCAAGTGGCAAATGCACAAATGTCATTAGGCACAAGTTAGACACTCCTTGTGGTCTTTGAACTAAGTCTATGCCTGCGCTCAAAACTTTAAGGAAGAAAGCAAAAAGAAAGAAAGCTAGTTCATGATGATACTCCTCTGAAGGAGCCCAGCAGGATGGAATGCACAAAAATGTGAAATCAAAGCCCAAGGAGAGGCACAAACACACCAACTCCTGAACGCTGCAATACAGACAGTTCACATCTTGCAGAACTGTAAAGTCTCATTCAGTCTCTGAGGAGGAATTCCCTGAGCATGAACCAAAGGCAGTGCAACACCCCACAGAAAGCTAAGCCTGCCTGCCCACCCATAAAGGGCTTAGTTTTAGCCCCAGAGGTTTCCTGAGTCAGTCCTCTCCACCGTGCCATGGTGGGGATTCAAATACCTGCCTTCTGACTTCTGCTACCTTTACCCTCTGCTCTCTGGCCCAAGGAGCACCTACCAAGCTGGTTTCCGCTGGCCTCAAGGTGTGTACTTCTGTGTTTACTCTAAGCCTCTGAATGTTCCCTAGGCACTCCCTCTCTCCCATGTTTGGCATCCTCCATATTTTGCATAGGGCACCTTAACATCAGGTGTTAGCCAAGGGCTCTCTTGGTTGATCCACTGTGTTCTCAGATCATTTTTGCAATATACTTTTTGGGTCCCCCAAGTCCTGGCCAGTCAAGTCTAGAATTTGTCAGGCTCACTGCTTTTAGCTGAAGGTACTGAGGTACTGATTGTGGTGTGGGAGTGGCAGGAAGGTATGCTCCTCTACAAAGTTCTACCTCCTTGGGACTAGGGATTTAGTTCAGTGGCACAACTCCTGCCTTGCAAATGCAAGGTCCCGAGTTCACTCCCCGTACCAAGAACAGAAAAACAAACAAACAAAAGTTCCACCTCCTCTGGAAATTGGAGAGAGGACAGAAGGTATTCAAGCAGCAAACATGGTGTTGAACCCTACTGGAAAACAAAGCCCAGGCTCTAGACACAGGGCTGGGTGGAGTGAGGAGGCCCATAGGAGATGACACTCACCCACTTTGCAATGGGGCACCCTCGGGAGCTCTTCCCCTCCTTCCCGGTGTAGATGACCTTCTCAATCCGGATGGCTTTCCCCTTCTCTCCATACCTAGAGGGAAACAGAAGCCCCCCATGAGCATAGTGGAACCTCAAAGGAGAACAGCTTACAGTAGGAAGGCAAACCCTGGTGTGCTTTAGTTTGGGTTTCTGGTTACTATGGGGTCAACAGAAAAGAAAGAAAATGTTTAAATGGTTATTCTATGCTTAGAGGCTCCAGGGCTGCTTCTAGGTTCCCAGGCCTTGGCTCACACGCCCTTTCCCCACTTTTGTCCATCTGACCCATCCCTGTCTTGAGGCAGAGGGGCAGCCAGGAAGAATGTCCCGATTATTGCCTGAAGTTCTAGGAAGGGTCCTGAAACTAAAGGCTAAATATAGGCATTTGTCCCCAGTCTTGTTATTGAGTCACCCGAAGAGTCAGTCATATATTCAATACACAAAAGAAAATAATTGGGGGGAAACCTATTTCTCTCTCTTTTTTTTTTTTAAACCAAAGTTTGTTTATTTATTTATGGTACCAGGGATTGAACTCAGGACCTTTCGCTTGCCAGGCAGGTGGGGTGCCGCTGAGCTAAATCCCCACCCCTGCTATTTTTCTCTTTTAATCACCCAAGCCAACCTCTGACAAACAGCTGAGGGGAGGGGAGGGAAACTACCACACACAAACACTGGTGCCCATGTACCCTGGGACAGTAGACACTTCTGGTTCTGGCACATACCACTTCTCTGAACCTTGGGTCTCCAGGACCATCTCATCAACTACATCATGTTCAGAGGTGATGAAAGTATGGCCCCAGACTTAAACCAACTTGCCCAGTGCCACACAACTATATGGGAGCAACTGTGACTGAAGTACAGCATGGGAGGTAGACTAGATTTAAGTGCTGGCTAAATCACTGAACTTCTCAAAGCCTCAGTTTTTCCATCTATAAAATGTAGATAAAAATTGTTTTTATCTCCTAGATTTGGTGAAGAACAAATGATAATCTATAGGGAATACATTATTTACAGGGCTTCAAAATTTCTAGCATAAAGAAGGAGCCCAATAAATATTTATAATAATATAAAAGTCACCTTACTGAACGATCTTGTTCTTAATAGATTTGCATTTCAGGAACATTATTATATCACATCTGCAGACAATGGTCATTTGCCACTTCCACCTTTCCACTCTTTATGCTTCTATTCCAGTCGCTTGTCTCTCTGAGCTGGCCTAGTGCTTCTGACATGCTAGCAGGCCTGTTTATTTCCCAGCTTCACTGAAAATGTTCCCGACAATATATCTCTTAGCACGAAGCTGGCTGGGTTGGAAGAAAGACTTCCTTGCTTTGAAGAGTGCTACTAAGGGTCTCCTGTTCTAAGGATTTAATATCAAGCATTAACTTGGAGGAAGTATACTTTTAACATCTCAGGAGATAGGTGATTGAATGGTTTTTCTTTAATCAGTTAACATGTTATACTTGTTAACACACTGTCTAAATCAAACTATCCTTTACTTCTATATAAATTCAATTTTATTATTGCATATTTTAATACACTATTTAATACAGCATAATGTTATCATAGATATTACAGTTTAAAATAGACATAGTTTTATCTTATCCATTCTGCTTGTAGGAATTAGTACCTCAAAAATAAATGTACAAATGTATTAGGCTGGGAAGAGTGGTACAAAGTGAGGAAGGCCTTGTTGCTTTGGTTCTTTGTGCATGCCAAGTTGTTCCTTCTCTGCGAGGTCTGTTTGTCATCCCTGCCTCAGAGCCAGCCGATTATGGACTGAAACTGCTACGAACTAAGAACCGGAAGTCACGTGGTGCCAGATCTGGTGAATAAAGTGGATGAACACATACTATAATGTTCTTATGAGCCTGTCTTTCACTTGGATGGTACTTGGCAGAAAAATTAACTGAATATTTGATCACACCTAACAAAGACACTCACAAAAAGGACTTCCAGAATTCCTTCAGAAAGTGTCAAGAGAGCACAGAGGAGGAGCCTTCCGGGCCGCCATATAACTGTCCCCAGCTCGAGGAGCTGCCCCCAGTGCGGAGGAGGTGAGCCTTCCAGGGCTGCTGTACTACTGCCCCCAACACCAAGGAGCAGAGCCACCCCTAGAGCAGAGGAGGTGAGCTGCATGGGCACCAGCAGCACCCCCCACCCTGAAATGAGAAGACACATAAACAAGTCTCAAAACCAGACTTCCAGATCACCTAAGGCAACCCCAAAGGGAAAAGAGATGGAACAATCTGATACTCAACCACCTGGACTCCCTGAACGGGCGACAAAAGAGGATCTGGAAAAAATGAAATCAGAAATAATTTCTCAGATAACAGCAGAGATTGTGCCCATGGTGCAAGACATGATTAATAAATCTAGAGAGAACACAGATAAAAAAAATAGAGGAGCTGA